CTTCACTCAGCAATTTGTCGTATCGATCCATAGCATCAATCTTCCGGCCGAATCCTTTCGGTCCAGCTTTGGCTTTCATCTTCTTCCTTTTCCCACTCTTCTTGTTAGCCGCCTCCTCTTTCTCGAACTTTTCCTTCTCTCTTTTCTGCAAGAAGGCCGTCACAGCAATGTAGATTACCTGAGACCGGAAACACCACCCTAATTAGACAGATGAGATCAACAGCTATACGAACGAAATTAGTGAGTGGAAATTCAACTTCGAGATTCGAATCCGAGCATTCATTTTACCCCAGTCGTGAGAATCGATAAACCGATGAACGCGACAAACAGAAGAACAGATATTACGGTGGAAACGCCGGACACTATCTCCTTCGATTTCTCCACCAGTGCGGCGGATTCCGAGGCCAAAGTTTCCTCAGATGTGGCATGGAGCCTCCAAATTGAGATTCTCTTCGACGATTCTGCCGGAGAGGATTCAGAGCGAGAAATGTTCGTCGGCGAGAGAGAGTAGAGGATGAAGCAAACGGCGTAGATAGACTAGGAAGCTTGCAAGATATGTTGGCGGCCATGGCACATCCGCATCCTCGCTGTCCAGATCCACCGGATCTTTCGTCGCCGTCAAGGCTCCCAGCGTTATTTCAATTTCAAAAAATAATTTTAAAATTTAAAATTCAAAAGTATTTTTTTTAAAGGAAAAAAAAAAACAAAATGCAAGAATGTTTTTATTAAAGTTCTTGAAATTACTATACTACCCTTCAGAATTGACTTGACTAATGCTCGTCAACCATTGTAAGGCACGCTCCAGGTGTCAGTCCATCACGCGGTTGGCTGTCATTTTAATCTCAACCGTTGAATCATGAGGGCCATAGATTCACTAAGTCCACGTGTCTAGAATCCGTAGCGAGTACGTTTACGACTGAATTCTAGCGAGTAGAACTAGATAATGAAAAGAGAGCAATATTTCAGCGTCCTAAAAATATCTCGCCGAATCGCCTCCTTCCGAGTTCCGGCCTTCTTCTTTCCCTATGAGACAGTGTTCCCTTTCCGCTCACATTTTCTCTGATTTTCCCGCCTTCCAAACACATACTTCGATACGAACAATCTATCAATCGATCTTATCACCGTCCTTGCTGACTTCAAGATTCGAGTAAGCTACGCTAATACCTCTCGATTTGGTTGGCTGATTACTGACATGTCTGATCCTGTTTGTGGTGGAATCGAAGAACAAGAGAATCTGCATCTGTAAATTTGTTATGGAGAAGAAGAGAGAGTGCCGATTTGGTGATGGTAATGGTTGTATAAATGGCGATGAAAGAGTTTTTCAGTGGGAGGATGGCCTCCCCGACGCAGAAAAATTAACGCCTCTTTCTCAATCGCTGGTATTGCAGGAACTGGCTTCGGCGTTCAGGATTTTGATGGAACCTCATCGGAGTATATCTGATGTTAAGTCGGCGTCGAAGACGACGATATTGAATATTTGCGACGGACAATCGGAAGGATACAGATGTTTCGGGCTTAATTACGATCAGACGCGGGGGGAAGACGCCGCGATGATTGAATCGGACGAGGTGATAAATCTAGATGAGTTGGGATCCGATTCGCGGTAATTAAGGAGGATTGATTGTTTTAAAGAGGCAAATTCTATGCCTCGGGGGGAGAGCTCGATCGAGGATGCGGCATTGGCTCGAACCTTGAAGCGGCCGAGGGTTGCATCCTCAACGACTGACGAGGCGACACAGAACTCAGATGATTCTGCTCCCAGTGCCGATTCACAAGGAAACGGCTATTTTCCATCTACTTTTCCGATGACTTATGCGCCATCTCCGATGATGCCTATGATGTTCTATAGAGTATGGGAGCTCACGGACACGGTCTTAGTCATTCCGGCATGCCGATGGTTAACCTGAGCACTATACCGACCCACTCGTGTAGCACGAAAGGGCAGCATAATTGATTGAAATGACAACTGACAAGTAAGCTTTGATTGCGCCTTACTTTCAATGTGCTCCTAATCCAAAGTTGAAATGATAAACGAAGTTTGAGAATCTCTCATTTCGATCTTCAACGGAGCGTGCTTAAATTAGAGTCTGTTGTGAAAAGTTTGAATGAATTAGATTCTGTTTATTGGGTTCTCTCTGATGAACTACAACCTACCCTCAGCATAGTTTCACTTTCTTTCTCCCTTTTAGTATCTCTTTTCCCTCAAGAAAGATGAAGAACTCGGAGAACTTTGCAGCTTGCAATTATAATAGACCTGTTCTTCATATCCTTTAGAAAGGTTTTCCTAAGCTGTGGCTATCCAACTGCACCCAGGAAATTTCTTGAGCTTCCTCTTCTTCATCATACTCTTCAGCTTCACAACATGTCCCCAACTGCCTGCATTAGCATACAGATCAGACAATAACAAGCTGTTCCCAACACTCCCAGGTTCCAATTCTGCTAAATGTTTGGCTGCTTCCTCAGCTAGTTCAATTTCTCCATGCTTCCTACATGCACCTAATAAAGCTCCCCATACGTATAAATCCGGCTCAACCGGCATCGTCTTGATAATATCGTAAGCCTCCCCCAGCTTCCCCGCCCGACCGAATACGTCGACCATACAGGCATAATGCTCTACTCTAGGAACAATACCATGCTTAGTTTGCATCAATTGGAACAAACTTTTCCCTAGATCAACCATCCCAGCATGGGCGCAAGCAGTGAGAACTGCTGTAAATGTCAGATGATCAAGTTTCTTCTCATCATTATCCTTCATCTGATGGAAAAGCTCTATTGCTTCACTGCAATATCCATGATTTGCATACCCAAAAATCATGGAGTTCCAAGTAGCTGAATTCCTTTCAGACATCCTCCAAAATAGCATCCCTGCTTCATAAAAATAGCCACATTTTGCATACATATCAACCAGGGCAGTCCTCACATAGATATCCTTTTCAACTCCAAGAACCAGAGCATATCCATGAATCTCCTTCCCACGTCGCCCGTTCCCCGCCGATGCACAAGCAGGCAAAAGGCTACTGATTGTAGCAGAAGTTGGACATAGCCCAGCATTCAACATCCTTCTAAATGTTCCAAAAGCCTCCTCATTTCTGAAGTTCTGTACAAACCCAGATATCACAGATGTCCAAGACACTACATCTGGTTCTATCCCATTGGCTTCCATCTCTTTGAAAAGCTCATGAACCATTTCTTCCTCATCCATCTGAGAAAAGCCTGTAACCAAAGTGTTCCAAGTCACCAAATTGGGTTTTACACCCAATACTTGCATCTTCTCCACCAGATTCAAAGCTTCCTCTGCCAATCCATGGTGGGCATAGCCTGAAACCATGGCGTTCAATGCCACCAAATCCTTCCCAGCCATTGATTCAAACACTCGCCGAGCCTTCTCAACCTGTCCACTTTTTGCATACATATCTATCAACGCACTGCAGACATAAGCATCGGATTCAAGCGAGTATTTAAGGATTAACGCATGCAATTTTCTCCCTGTGGGGATGTCGGAGAGGTGACCACATGCTTTCAAGACACTGGGAATGATGTACTCGCTAGGCGTCGAGCCTTGTCTCTGCAGCTCACAAAATACACTCAGAGCTTCTGTGTAAAACCCATAACGAGAATAGGCCCCAATCAAGACAATCCACCGGCGGGGATTTGTTTGGGGAATTTTGTCGAACAGTTCCCGTGCATCGTTGATTTTTCCACACGCAGCGTAGAAGGCTATGAGCTTCGCAGCAAAATGTGTCAAACGAGCTAGTCCGTTGATGATCAATCGAGCGTGAAGTAACCTCCCGAAGTTCAGTTCTCGATCGCGTCCATACGTCTCGATGAGCTTAATATACTCATCGGATGAGGAACAAAACCCGCGGCGGATGGCCGGAAATCTGTTCGTAGCCCTGAAAAATGCAGCGCCGCCGGCAAGAGAGAGCATCCCAGATTCGACGAAGGCACGATAAATGAGTAATTTTATGCAGAAAACTAAAATGTTCAATACCCTGTCGCTGGTTCTTCAGCTAGCCGCTGTCAGCACCTCAGAGCTTGGAATCTAGTTACCTGACATAGCGGAGGAAGAGCTTTGTGGCGCTTGCGGGATGGAGTCGCAGAGAGTCCCCGTAGGATGTGGTTGGTGTTTCTCCAACGGCAACTACAAATGAAATCAAACCAGTAAGAGCAGCAGTAGTATGAAGGAGAATAACGACGAGATGGAAGCCACGCTTTTGAAGTTGAAGAAGGATTTAGGCTTTTATAGCATCAGCATGGAAATTTAAAGTGCAGCCTTTCATGGTCTTTGGAGGAGGCAACATATATGGCATATATAATTTGGTTGTGATTCCCAATATTTGGCCATAAACTGTGAATTTATACTTTTCATAACTGCAGCTGCCCACGGGTGTAAATGGAGTATTAACGGATTGAATTTCTATTTTTTCTTTCTACATAATTCACCTCTTATAGGCCTAGTATCCTTGTTTGCACTCGTTTCCTTCCCCAATCATGAGGAACATCCAAATTCATTCCCCTTTGGCGCCCAACGTCCTTGTTGGCACACCACTTGGTGTCTACTCCCTTCGAGGCTCAGCTTCTTCACTGGTACGTTGTCCCGGTGTCTGTCTCTAATACCGTTTGTGACAGCTCAAACTTATCACTAGCAGATATTGTCCTCTTTGAGCTTTCTCTTTCGGACTTCCCCTCAAGATTTTTAAAACGCACCCGATAAGAAGAGNTTTTCACACTCTTTAAAGAATACTTCATTCTCCTCTCAAACCGAGAATGTCACAACATATTAGCCACACCCTTTAATTTTATAATTTTAACTTAATTTGAAAATAGCTTCAAATCACTAACAAGATTCTAAAAAAAAAAAAAAAAAAAAAAAAAAAATTAGAAACTTTGGGAAACTAGATTACAAATTTAAGAGCAAAAATATAAGGTTTTTAAAGTATAAGATTAAAATGAAAACTAAACTTAAAAATTCCTACTAAAATCTCAATTGTCTACGTGAAATGAATCGGTGTCATGATCGGGCTTTGGAGCGAGTTGCCGCCAGAATTATCGACGATCCACGAGGTGGGCGTGTCGACCTGTGAAGCCTTTCCTTGTGGTGGGCTTGAGCCGAACTAGTTCTTCGATATTTGGACCGCCTTCAAACCAATTTCATTCAGAATTTGTTCAACGCCGGAGGTTCGATTAGAGAAACATGCGGCCATGTACTGCTCCACTCGCCCCCTACAAAGCGCTGCTCATTTTCTCAAGGCCTCCTGGAAATCAAACCACGTAAGTTTCAGAGCTTTGATTTCTTGTAATTACAAGGATTACGAAGATGATTCCATCCAACCCAGCCTTCAAAACATTAGCCAAAAGCAAAATTTATCAGACAATGTCGACATCCAATTCCTGGTTCAGTTACTGCGAAATGGGTCTCCTCCGACCCCTCACATTCTCAGTCAAACCATATCCGCCTGCACGAAATCCGGCCTTCTGGACTTGGGAATTCAAGTCCACTCAGCCATTGTCAAGCTCGGTTTTTCTCTCAATCCTTATATTTCTAGTGCTCTTGTCGATATGTATGGTAAATGTTGGTCCATGTCGAATGCCCAGAAGGTGTTCGATGAAATGCAGTGTCCAAATGTAGTCACTTGGAATTCGTTGGTTACTGGTTATTTGCAAGCAGGCTGTCCTTTAATGGCAATTACTTTGTTTTTAGAGATGCTAAAGCAGGGGATTGAACCCACCCCCTTCAGTTTATCTGGTGTTCTTGTGGGCTGCTCTCAGTTACAAGCTGGAAAGCTTGGAACTCAACTACATGGTGTTAGTTTGAAACTAAGGTTTTCGTCTAATGTTGTTGTGGGTACAGGGTTAATTGACATGTACTCCAAGTGTTGCAATCTCGAAGACTCGAGGAGAGTGTTCGATATAATGTCGGATAAAAATGTGTTTACTTGGACTTCAATGATCACTGGTTATGCTCGGAATCAGCAACCTCATGAGGCAATGGTTTTGATGCGAGAAATGCTGCATCTGGATCTTAAACCAAATTATATGACTTACAATAGCTTGCTAAGTTCATTTTCATGTCCTCATCATTTTGATCAATGCAAGCAAATTCATTGCCGGGTAATAGTGCAAGGGTTCGAGAGTAATAACTATATAGCTGCTACCCTTGTTACTGCATATTCAGAATGTTGCAGTAGCTTAGAAGACTATAGGAAGGTTTGCTCAATCGTTACAATATCAGATCAGATTTCATGGAATGCTGTTATAGCTGGTTTTTCTAACTTGGGCATAGGTGAGGAAGCTTTGGAATCTTTCATTCAAATGAGGCGGGAAAATATCGATGTAGACTTTTTCACGTTTACAAGCATTTTTAGGGCCATAGGAATAGGTTCAGCTCTAGAAGAAGGAAGGCAAATTCATGGTCTAGTGTATAAAACTGGATATGGCCTAAATTTATTCGTCCAAAATGGTCTTGTATCTATGTATGCTAGATGTGGTGCTATCAGTGATTCAAAGAAAGTGTTCTCGAGGATGAACAAGCATGACTTAATATCATGGAATTCATTGCTTTCAGGATGTGCATACCATGGTTGTGGTGAAGAGGTCATTGACATGTTCGAGCAAATGAGGAGGACATCAGTCAAACCAGATGATACCTCCTTCCTTGCTGTGCTCACTGCATGTAGTCATGTTGGTTTGCTGGACAAGGGACTTGAATATTTCAACTTGATGAGAAATAGATTGCTTGAACCTCCAAAACTGGAGCATTACGCTACAGTAGTTGACCTTTTTGGTCGAGCGGGAAATCTTCACGAAGCTGAAGCTTTCATTGAAAACATCCCTATAGAACCAGGGATATCAATTTACAAAGCTTTGCTAAGTGCTTGCCTAGTCCATGGGAATAAAGATATTGCCATTCGGACTGCAAAAAAGCTTCTGGAACTATATCCACATGACTCAGCTACTTACATCATGCTGTCAAATGTGTTGGGGAGAGATGGTTATTGGGATGATGCTGCTAGGATAAGGAGGCTAATGTCCAATAGAGGAGTCAAGAAAAACCCTGGTTTCAGTTGGATGTGACTTCAATAAAAGGAGAATTTTCAGCATAAATTATGTTCCTAGGAAGCAAATGGTTCACAGTTTAAACCCTTCTCCAATGGGGTTGATGGCTAAACTTCCCCAACGATCACTTTAAGATTCTCTCTAAGGTGTATTCTCTTAGATCCCGGGACAAGGTTCATCTGATGCCTGCGAGTGTTACCTACAGTATGGTCAAAGAGTGCTGGCGCTTGGATTAGTCCCTTTCTGGTGATAAGAATTCGACATATACACAATTCCTAGCTCTGTATTCATTCAAAACTCACTTATTTGTGATAGATCGACTACATGGGGGATTTCACTTATAGAATCATCACTTAGTCTATGAGCCTTATGCTGCCGTTATTAATGTCAAGACACAGAAGGAGAACAAGGTGCTCTTTCTATTTCGGTCGAGCCCATGATCTTAAAGTTGGAAAAGTATACAAAAAGTCCATCTCTGGTTCTCTTTACCACATTTTTTGTTCAGGTAAATCGCAGAATAAGGCTATGGTCTGCAGGAGAAGGCTCTGAAATCATGCTGAGTGAGAAGGGGGACTTGACATTGGAAGACCAAGAAAATTAGTAGAAATTCAAACAATTGAACCAAAATTTCAGAACTTCCAAGCCTACAGAAAGAGAAATTACTGACCAGGAGACTGTGCATCATTTTGGTGAACAAATCAATATATATTGTTGCTTGTAAGAGAAAGGAGAAGAACCAGTAATGTGGTCCTCAAAGAGCACCCTTCCAGCTTCTCCAAACTGAAAAGGGAACGTCTGGAGCTGAAGCATATTAAAAGTTAGCAGAGAAAAATATTCCTTCCTCCAGAATGGTTTTGTTGGAATAAGAATCTTCCAAGTTTCAAACAAGAAACGCAGGAAGTTACTGCTGAAATCATCGCCTGCATTGTAAGATTAAATGAGATCCTGTTTCGTTCAGTATAGATGTAAATGCTAGAAATTCTTATGTAGAAGTTTCTTAAGAAATGGATTGGAATTACCTTCAGGTATTGATAATGACTGCCAATTTTGTCTTTCATTCAATTGATACAATGGTTTCAGTGAAGTTTTATAACAGTAACGATTTACATAACTAGAGAAAAAGCAACTCAAAAGTATTTGCTTCATTAAAACGCATTTGTATATCTATACCAGTACATGTAGAAAATTCCTAAGAGTCAGTGCTGGAAGCTTTTGTTGCCGAATCTGGGTGTTGGGACATAGTCTTTAGCAGATGAATCTGTACAGCCTTCAGGAACAGTGATATTAGCTTGTTGCGTTCCTCTTCCCCCATTGATTCTTTAAAATTGAAAAAGAAAATAACGTAAATCAAAATTACACATAAAAAAACAAATGATAAAGACAGACTTTAATTGTAAAATTTCCCTACCATAAGAAGTTCCTGTCTGAACAACATCCTCGTTTGCAATTACAGGAGCAGCTTCTTTTAAAATGAAGAAGGAATAATTAATTTAGGCTAGGATTTAGATAACAAATGATCAAGATGATTTTGGACGTAAGAGTTGCCTACCACTAGAAGTTCCCGACTGAAGAACATCCTCATTTGCATCTATAAGAGCCACTTCTTGTAAATTGGAAAGAAAATAACGATTAATGTAGATTAGTTTTCATAGAACAACAATCAAGATATGATTTTAAATGTAAATTTTGTTTACCAGAGTTTCCTGACTGAACAACATCCTCCTCAGTTGCATCTTCGACAGCAACTTCTTTGAATTCGAAAATAAACGAAGTTAATTTAGATTAAATTTCATAATGCAGATGATCATGACGAACTTTGGATGTAAATGGTGGCTTACCATAAGAAGTTTTTGACTGAACAGCATCCTCGTTTGCATCTCCAAGAGAAACTTCTAAGATTGAAAGAAGAATAATTAATGTAAGATTAAATTTCAGAAAACAAATGATCAAGACATGACTTTGAATGTAGAAGTTTCCAACCATAAGAAGTTCCTGACTGAGCAACATCCTCATTTGTATCTTTAAGAACCTCAACAGTATCTTCATTTGCATTCACAAGAGCAGCTTCTTTAACAATGAAAAAACAAAGAGTATGCAGATTAAAGAGCAATGAGTTTAGATTCAATTTCAAAAAACAAAGGATCCAGACATGACTTTGGATTCAAGAGTTGCTTACCATTAGAAGTCTCTGACTGAACAACATTTTCAGTTGCATCTTCAAGAACAGCTTCTTTAAAATTGTAGAAAGAACAATCAATACAGATTATTTCAAAAAAGAAATTATGGAGAAACGATTTTTAATGTAAAAGTTGCTTACCCTGAAAAGTTTCAAACTGAACAACGTCCTCATTTGCATCTCCAAGTGCAGCTTCTTTCAAATACTTGTCAGCCAATTTAACCCTCTTCACATTCTCCTGTTCCATGATGAGCATGTTGCCATATTCTAGTAGCTTTTCTAGTGTCATCTTTGGTTGATTAAAAGTTGGGGGGCCTTCCTTTGAGTTTACAAGATTTTTTCCAATGCTCTCAACTCCAACACCGGCAGCCCACTTTCTCACTTCATTGTCATAAACTCGAGCTCTCAAAGCACCAAAGAAGTCTGCAAAATGATTGGTTTATGCAAGTCAATATTCTTCTTCCGTTCAGAAATGTTTGATTTCAGCTGAACCAAGTTAGTGAGGCTTACCGATCGACTGCCCTGGGAAGGTGTCGACGAGTTTGACAATGTCCTCTGTCGGTACACCGTCAGTCCTAAAGATTCCAGTGCAAATACCGATACGATCTTCACGAGTCGGAGCCCAATAGAATTTGTCCATGCGACCATCACGAATGAGGGGTGCATATAAAGTTGAGAAGTCATTACCAGTTACTATGATGGGAACTCTGGGATTTTCTTCTTTGTTGTATAAGCCTGGTAGCTGCACATTGGTTGGGTTGTCAGCAATGTTCATAAGAGTAGCATTTACCATCTGGTTATTCACTGTGTACTGTGTGGCCCCACCAAACCTTCCAGCTCCAGCATCAAGATCGTTGATAAATAGGCAACTCATCTTCCCTTTCTTGATAATATCAGCCGCCTCTCTATATCTTTGCCTGATCAATTTTGCTGGCTCTCCTGCATTCCCACTTTCTAATTCCCCAGCACTCATCATAATAGGGCTGAAATTTCATCATAACTAAACAAAATTAAGACCAACAATATATCAGTGAGAAGAAGAAATACGTTCAGAGATTTGTAGGGCCAACTGAACTAAGTCTGGATGATCTTAGTATTTTCAGGGTGATTTTAGGTGTTTTCTAGTGAGAACAAATCTTTCTATAATCACTCTTTTCGGTAGAGCACTCCCAAGGCTCTCTCAAAAGTCATCTGAAACTCACCCTTGTCATCGAGTTCAAATACCCTAATAGTTCGACCAATGTAGTATGCATTAAACTCGATCCTTAGTGTTTCGTTTGAACAAAATACCAGATCCACGTGACCATCTTAACCAAATCCAACCTCTTGCCACCATCTTTACCAATCCCACGTCGATTCGAGAGGGAACGAGTTTCAGCATCCTCGCTGGTTTTGAACTTACTTAGTTTGGTTGTTCAACAATATACTTAGTTCAGTTGTTCAGTTGGCCCTCCAAACAACTTCCTCAGAACTAGCTGGGTTTTGAACTTACTTGATTCCCATCTTGGCAAATACAAGTTCACACTGAAAAGATTTTCCTTGTCCTTTACCTCCCCAAATACCCAGAATGAGAGGAACCTAAAATGCATCCAAGAAGGTTAGCAGTTAGCACTGAAAGACAAACATGGACGAACTATATCGTGTCGAACATCGAGCTGTATTTTTAACCTTAATGTTTGGCAGGTTCATGAAGTTTTTGACAATGTGAACCATAAGTTTGTCCATGAAAGCTGGAGCTATGTAAAATCCATCCATATTATTGTCGAAGTTGTATCTGAAACATTGTAATACTTCAAGTAAGCTCGCATAAGAATGTTCAAACAAACTGCAAAATTCTAGTTGAACACTTACTGTCGAAGTCCAGCACTAACGTATTCATATGAACTCAAGACAGCATTGTGAGTTCCTGTCCCCATGGGAGCTTGGAAAAGAGGATCCGCCAATCCCTTCCCTCTGGTAATGTCTTGCTGGTCATCAGAAGTATCAAAAGCAAGGCCTCGCCATTTGTCCTTCTCGGTTTGCTTCTCCTCATTATACTCAGCAACAATCTTGAAGTTTCCAATCACCATTTTTGAGGTGGTGGATTTGGAACTGACCTTCAACCTGCTGCCCAAGAACGCTGAGTTCGGCACTAAACCTCCATAGTTACTGTTGTTTAACTGCATATAACATGAGATTCAAGATTGAAAGATGAAACCCAGAGAGAAAAAAAGAAGAAATTGTTAAATAAATTGGTATTCTCCGTCAAATAACACAAAAGACTTGGCGGGAAGAAACAGTACCGTTGTTCTATTAACAGCTCCAACGGTTGAAACCGTGGCAGCCATGGAACTAAGGGCTTAGGAGGGTGTGAAGAAGTGAAATTCTAGCAGCAAGCTTGTACCCTCCCCTCAAAATAGATGAACAATCAAGTGAATCATCTCGAGCTCTTTGAAATTGATGAACTCTTGAGAGACTTTAGGCATTCACAACCACACACGTGGCAAACAAAGGCGCCCGTTCAGTAAAATTACTAACAAAACATGATTCTCAAATCTGCTTAATCTAAAGCGACCGTTGAGGTTGGGATTTGAGCTTCCATCTGCACCACGCAAAAAGCGGACGTGAAAATAGAAAACAAAAAACAGAGCTCTATTATTTTCGCTTCTATGTAATACTGAATCCACAAACTTTCTCCATACAATATGGCCCGTTCCACTAAGCAAAAACCCATGAATAATTCAGAGTTATCTAAAAGGCCCTGTGCCATATAAAACAAAAATATGAACAAAAATCGGGGGACTCGATGTGCCACATACAAGCACTCCTTATCTCTTTATCCCTTGGAGATACTTAAATAGTTACTCATGTAGGAAGAAAATAGTTACTGATTTAGGAAGAAGATATGAGTTAGTTTAGTTTTATTTAGTTAAATAATTTAGCTAAATTGTGAACTTGAGTTAATTACTATGTCAATTAGTAATTAGGATTTAACCCTATTTTCCATTATTCTTGTAAGGCTGTAAATCTTTGAAACTTCCCATCATTGAAATTATGAGTGTTTTCTCTTGATTGAGAGTTTACTAGTGTTCTTGGGATGGATTTCTATACGACTTTGTAGGGAACTGTGTTTTTGGGCAATTCTTTATGGATTCATTTCCATAAAACTAAAACCCCCTGCATCAGTTACAGATTTAGCTCAAAGACAAGTAATTGAAAGTTGGAAACCAGCAAAAACGTAGTCCAATTACTGCATAATTAGTTCTTGTTTTTCATGGAGATTACAGTTCATTAGTCAGGAGGATATGATGGAGATAACTAGAAACGGGTAAAAGAAAGAACCCCAGCTAACCCCCTCAGTAGAAAAAGAACAGATAAAGGAGAAGAGGAAATCAGGAAGAAGAGAGGATGAATTTAGGGAAAGTTGCTTGGAAAATCCCAAAGCTACGATGTCTCATATGAACAGATGGCTGTGGCCCTGAATGACAATTCTCCATCCACTTGTACAAAGTGGGTAAGGAGAGGAATGAAACTTCAAGCCAGACTGATCATCGGCCCATAATTCTGTACATAGCTGTTGGATCATCAACCCCAGCGGCCAATATACCACAATGATTACAGAAATTATGAGGCCTCATGATTTGGCGACAAGTATGGGAAAGTTGCTGTGAGATGCCACGTCTATCGAAGAGAAGAACGAAGCATTATGTATAGGGTGTGAAACTCTAAGACAGTGTTTTAAAAACCTGAAGCTCAAAAGGGAAATCACAGATAGAGAACAATACGTGCTAGCAGTAGACTTGGCTGTTTGGTATTAAAGCCCAACATCGGGTGATGTGCCAGCAAGGACGCTGGACCTCGAAGGGGTGGATTGAAGAGACCCACATCTATTGGAGAAAGAAACGAGTGCTAACGAGGACACTGGGCCCCGTAGGGAGTGGATTGCAAGATCCCGCATCGCATAGACTGGGGAGAAAAACAAAACATTCTTGATAAGGGGTGAATAACTCTCGCATCGACTGGAGAGAAAAACAGAACATTTTTTATAAGGGGTGAATAACTCTCTTAGCTGTCACGGCCCCAAATGGGATGGATTGTGAGATCGATATCGTTGGGAGGAGAACGAAACATTTCTTACAAGGGGTGAAAACCTCTCCTAGCAAACACGTTTTAAAAACTGAAGCCCAGAAAGCTCAAAGGACAATATCTACCGAAGGGGATCTTGTTTTATATTAGTGAGATAGATATAAAGTAGTCAACAGACAATTGCATTAATTGTCTTAAAATATCTCCATAGGCAGAAAAAAGTACCCAAAAAATGCATCCTAGTTGCAAATATTTTTTCTTGGAACAAATTTGCATATATGGAAACCAAATTAATTTTGCAGTAAGCTATGGTGTGCCCCTACCTTAATGGAAAGTAACTGATTCAAGAAAATAAAGAAAAAGAAGAAAATGCAATACTGTTCTTATCTTTAATTTGCTATTTTTTTGGTAAAAAGTATTAAAAAGAGGGATGCTTCAGTTCAAAGGCCAGCATTGAAGGGCTTAAACTCATGATCCTGTTCTTCAGGAATGGAAAAAGTAATTGGTTGAAACCCTAAAAACGTTCAGAAGAATTGCTAAATAAAGACAGAGGGTTAAAAGCGTACCTAATGATCGTTACATTTTACCCGCCGTTCCCAACATTATGAAATGAAATTTGGATTCAGGATTTCTGACCATTCACCTTCATAACCAACGATCTTCTTTGTGCCCTATATTTCTCTTCCAATGAATGCAAATCAATCTGCCGTCGTTGATTTCCTCAGAGCAGCAATGGACAACGAACGCGGAGGCAGAATACCTAAACCTCCGACCAGGTTGCAGAAGCAGGCGCCGGCCGGTCTTTATCTCGATCAGCTTTCGAGCGTCTCAATGTCTTCTGTTGGTACCGAAACTTCTTCGAAGACGGTTCTTCCTCTGCTTTCGCCGCTCCCTTCGTCGCCACAGCCTTTTCCTGAAACTGAGGGAAATAGAATGTTGGCGAACGGAAATGGTGCAGACAGCGGCGGCAATGGCGACCAAAGAGGTATAGTTTTCGCATCTCCTGGTGGCTGGCAACATCCGGCGGTGGCTGCGACATACGCCGATCCTTCCACTCTGTTTACTTTCTTTCAATCGAAGTGCATCATAACCAGTAGCACGCCGTGAGAAGATGATGGCTGGATCGAGTCTCGCGGTTTATGCTCTACGTAAATCCATGTACAGTATGTGTGTGTGTGTGTGTCGCCGCTTGGATTAAGATCTCCACGAATGCTTCTGGTTTCATGTTGTATTATTGATAAATTGTAACGCGGGAGATCCCTCAAACTTCCTTCTCCTAATCTAACAGCCGCTTCGTTTCCACTTCGTTCCTGTTCAATTCATTTCTCTCGGTCATTTCTTGTAATTTGTTGTCTACTTTCAAGTCGTCTCCGTCATGAATCCGGTTTCGCCATTAAAAGTTATGCTGCTCAAGATTCTCAAATCAGATCACACAATAAGGTACTCACAAACAATCTCTGTATCTGGTTCATTCAGTTTGTTGCTTTCTCCAATTGACCATAAAAAAGATTGAAGACTTGAATGGAATGACTTTGTAAGTATAACGAAGATCATTCTAAACAAGATGGTTGTAATCACATGTTCATTCGATTTTATTATATTTTCCAATTGGCCGCAAAAAAGGATTAATAATCTTCAAAGAAAAACAACCATGAATCATACAAGGTGAATCATTAAGAATAAACTCACTACTACAAATCTTCTTCGGCTTCATTACTTACATTATAACCCTCTAATTCAGGAACAAGATTCTAATCTACAACAACTTTGAACCAACTTTAAATTTTGAAACATTGACTAATCACTTAATGTTTCATTAAAACATTGGCTAATCACTTAATTTTGAAACATGGCTAATCAATCGCCTATACTATACATGGTTACCAGATACCCATCGGCACATTACAATGCTTGTATGCTTCTGGAATCTTATTAAAAATGGGAGACACATTACAGTGCTTGTATGCTTCTAGCTGGAATATTATTAAAATTGGGAGCATGTGGATTGGTTCGAATCAATATGAAATTATTACTCCCACGCCCATTCTATTTTTTCACCCGGGTTGATCGAATCAATATGGAATTATTATTATTCCGAAATTATTATTCCATTACTTCCAGCCCATTCTATTTTTTCACCCTGGTAGACATAATTCAAATAATCTATAGACATAATTCAAATAATTTATGCAGCTTTCAACGCAATTTAAAAAAAAAATCGCTTGTGGGGTGAAAATGTGAGATCTCATCAGTTGAGGAGGAACCCGGGGAGGAGAACGAGAAGAATTATAGAGTGAAAATATGAGATCCCACATCAATTAGATAGGAGAACGAACATCGATTGGGTAGGAGAACGAACATCGATTGGATAGGAGATCGAACATTGATTGAAAATTGAGGAGAACCAGCGAAGAATTATAAAGTGAAAATGTGAGATTTCACATCAAAACGAAAAATACTTTATAAAGGTGTAGAAACATCTTTCTAGGAAATGCGTTTCAAAAAACCCAGCTCAAAAACAAAATTCCAAATAAGATATTAACAATATCTGCAGGTAAGAAAGGTAAAAAAAAAAAAGTTGCCATGATAAAACTTCTGGAAAATCCTCAAGTTGCCATGCATTGAAGGCCGATAGAGCTCTCATTCGTTATATACAAAACAAACGCTACTAATAACATTTATCAAAATACACACAAGGAATCATCAACATGTCCTTTTCCCTCCTGCGCTCACAAAACAAATATTAACTGAACACAACTTTTTAAGCATCCAATGAACGAACTTCCTGGAAATCTTTCAAAAAAAAAAAAAAAAAAAAACTGCTATAAATAACCGCACATTGAAGATGATGCCTCTACTAAAATTCAGAAGTCGAATTCCCCAGTTGCCTGCCAAACAAACCAAGCTTCCATGAAAACCGAATTCGGTTAATATCTATCTAACTTCTAGTTTTCGAGGGGAAACTTCACCTTGTTGAAGAGAATGTCCTTGTTGTTAATGTGCATAATTCCATCCTTGAGTGTACATTTCCACCTACTCTTGGTACGAGTAACCTAGCACGTTGAAATTACGATATGGCAAGTATTAGGTGCACTATATTCTAAAAATATGAAATGTGTGTGTGTGTGTGTGTGCGGGCGCGCATAATGGCACGATGGATCCTGGAAGGCTCTAGCATATACTGCAACCGCACCTACCAACCATGAACTAAAGAAAGTACCTTATCAAACTGAGCTAAAACTAAATGCTGTGTGCTCACTTCCTCTCCCTGATCCACATCATCCAAATCGTCGTCATCGTCATCTTCGTTCAATGAAGGCTCGTCATCCTCCTCCTCCTCCCCAACATCATCCTGGGTGACAACAGCAGGAGTGCCAGCTGGTGGATCTGTCAAGTAAACATAACAGGTCCATATTAAAATTAAAGAGATTTTTTGTTTCAGTTTTAAATCCTTTCACCTTTCATCCTTGTTCTACCTTTGTTTTTTTTTTTTTTTTCCCCTTTCAAATGTTCGAATCTGATCCTTGAATTAC